TATTCTGTAACTTCCGACGTCGATCGATACCAGACTGTACAAAAGCGTGGGCAACGCGTACCTTTCAACTTCCTTTACTCTCTCAAAACATTAGGGGCCAGGCACTGAACGATACTCGTCTGCGCCCTCTTTATAGCATTGGAGCGCGGCTACAATGGTCACGTGTCCACGCGCGTCATCACGAAGTATGAACGTTGCCTCATTCCCTAGCGCAAATGACACACACCTTTGCAATCATATGATGCCGCTTGTTGGTAAGCACTGGCCACCATCCTCGCAACGTATTTGAGTCGAACAAATTTACCGTATCCAACTCGGAATCAGGCGGCACTCTATACTTCTGTAAATACAGCAGGGTAAGAGAAGAATTGAGAATAAAAGAAAGGATGAGAATAAGGTTACAAGTGCACTTAATTCTAAAAGCTTATATTTTACCATTGGTATGGGGTATGGTACTTTGTGAGTCCTACGAAATTTACATCCACATCGAGTATCCTTACAAAACATGCACAGCCTGGAAAGGAACTATGATGAGATCTTATTCAGAGGCCCAAATCACGGCAAAATGGGAGCTGGAGGGCAGCTCTACCCCGAAAAAGCAAAAAAAAGCAAAAAGAAACTAACAGGAAAAAAGTGACCATTCAGAGTGGAGAGTTGCCCATGGTCTCATCCGTAGCCCTGACAGTGCCCCCAGTGACCGCAGAGCGGCCGTACCCGACATTTACGATGAGTTGTCGGACGATGGAATCAGTTTCTTGCCAGAGAAATACGAAGTCGTTTTGGTCATCTACACGCTAAGACCAAGTCTGTTGATGGAGTGGTTGCCACTATCTACAGGGGGGGGGGCAAAAAAGTCACTTTTCTTCATTGACTTTCGAGGCGCTATAAGTTACACTTTATTAAATTCTGATCGGACATTTCTACCACCATATTAAAGAGCATATTAAATACTATTATGATACTCCGCCAGATATTTCCGCCAGATCCTTCTGGAGAAGCGCCATCGAGAGATTCTGCGGCGCGACCAAGATTCGGTGCCTGAGTTCAGAGAGATATTTGGTTTCTCCGCCACTGTAGACCACCTATTGAACTCCGCCCGAACCAAGTAATTTGAGGGGCATAGGTTCAGATTACACACTTAGAATTCAAATGCTTCACGGTAGCTCAACTCCCTTCATTCAAGTAGGCGAATCTTTTCCAATGCGCTGGCGATTCCCTGTTGGCATCTGAATCTGTAGCAGTAAAAGTTTCCAAGTTTCCCTTCCATTCCAAGTGTCGCCTACTTGGAATGGAGGGGAGTTGGTACCTGAAGAGTATGGAATATATAAGTGTGTCATCTGATCTGAACCCCCTCAATTACTTGGTCCGGAGCCGAGTTTAATAGGGTGGTCCACAGTGACGGAGAAACCAAATATCCAAGATGGTAAGAGCGACGACATGTAGGGAGGACATTCTTCTCGACTTGTTTGATGTGACCGCCAGCGTCACCTTCAGTCCGGGGTCCACGAATGAAAATATCGGTCTTTCCATTCCAGGTACGTCCAATCCCTACCATCAATCCCGCTTGCGACTGCGTGAGAATGATCTCCTAGACCGTAGGCGACGTGGTCGCGAGTCTGCCTCGATTTGGAGGTCTTCCAGAACGAGAGTCTCCAGTAGCTACCCATGGGTGACTCCACTATAGAAGCTTCGCAGCTGTTTGGAGGTGACATGAATTCCAAAGGTCTTCTCCAGTCAGGCTGCGACTGGAGATGACTTCATATTTTGGTGTACATGAAGGTGATGGAGCGAGAGCCAGCTCCTGCTTATCGAGGAACATCTTGGGTATCTTCCAGATGAATGGAGAGACCGTTTGACCTCTTTAAGTCTAACTAAGCTCTCTACTCCTTCACACAACTCACCTCACACAACAGCATCGTCGACTGCATATATTGCATCTATCTCGGACCTTTCGTTTTCTTATGATTCCAATATCTTCCGGATCCGCGATTCCCTCTGAAGCGTCATGATTGTTGCACATGGCTAGGGGAGAATACCGAAAAAAAAAACTGGCGAACCCTGTTACCTTTAAAATGCGTCAAATCCATTGCCATTTGACCCAACATTACATCTTTACGAAATTTATTTTTGTCCCAAAGTTGAATGATTAACAACGGCTCCACTAACGATTCACTTGCTTTCCTGAATCAATTTCATTCAGCTTAAAAAACAGCAGGGTTTGCTCGATTAAGTGAGTATCGAGTGTAGCTGAACATTTACTGCGCGTATACTCTCGATATTCAGAAAAGTCTTATTGCTGAATGAAGAAGACAATCAAGTCGGTGTAAGTTCAAGCGACGGGAATGAACCACTATTCCTGACTAACTGGTTCAGTAACATTTCAGTGTTCCAGTGACATTCACTGCCTAACCAGTTGTGCTCTGGTGCTGATTCCGCGGTCATATAAAGCCACATCTACGTAGAATTTCGGGATCCGCAGCGACCGTGCTGGGCCAGAGCTCATAGTTAGAAGAAGAGAATGTTAGTCGCCTTGTCGTGCTTCTTTTTAAAATAAGCGACCATTAATTTCAGCCGCAGTTTTGACAATTTCTTCCGGTTTTTCATCGCTTGAGTCATTCGGAGAGTGTAAGCGCGGCGCGGGGGTTTCAACGCAGCGCTGGTCAGCTTTTAATCGCTCGATGCGGGCGGGGCGTTCACTGAATGGTGGAAAGGGCTGGCGAGCCCCAAAACCTACGCGCGCCTGACACGGCGAGACTAACTTCAGTGATAACGACTGTACCTTGAGAACCTGTGAGAGCGACAGGAAAATGGTCCGCTGTGGGCTGAAGAGCTGTGCTCGCTCGAGTCAAAGCCTGGGCGCTTCCCTTGAAATGGTCAGCGTGACCGCACTTGGCATCTTCATCAGGCTATGGATTGAGTTCCCTAGCTGTTCAGCGGACTCACGTGATCCTTATATAATCCAGAAGACCTCATCTTTGGGAGATTTCATTTCATTCACTTTGAGGCACATTTCGCCATAACCAGATGGGGTGGAGAGGGTAGAAACGGGCGGGGAGGCGCGCAACCTTAAAGGCACATTCCGCCGATAACTAAAGGCTTATGGACTTTCGAAGATGTGTCGCGAGCGATCCGGAGGCGCGATTTTTGAGGCTGCCGCTACAGTTCAAAATGTGAAAAACGGCAAGAACTCCGCTAGAAGCTGAATTAGGCCCATGGACACCCCTTAGGCCCATGCCGACCCTCACCGGCTGCTAGCTACTAGCAGGCCTCTATTATCTTTCTCTATAACATTTCGGACTGCTTTTTCTGCTGCTTTTCTCCGCTCATCAGATACTTAGCACTTTCTTGTGCCTATTTGAGTTCCGTTTCCCGCAATTTGCGGTCGCGAACTGTGCCTTTAAGCGCTTTTGCCATTCGTGCGTCTTCCCTTCCAATACGCTTTGAATACGCTCAAGCACGCACCAACGAGTAAGACATCATGTCAGTGTCCACACCCTTCTATGCCATTTAGTCATCGTGGAATGTTTCTGTGAGGCGCCATTTGATAAGCGCTCGGACTGTCAAACTGACAAGTTTTAACGCTACTTCAGTTCCTTTGACAAATCATCCTTTTAGAACAACCATTCCCTTCATAAAGCTTCCTACCTACCTGAACAGCCTTTTCTTCTGAGTGCTGATCAGCTTTCGTTCCCATGGATTGAACGCTATGTCAATAACAAATCGCCAATTGAATTCGCCGCAGCCATCCGTTGACCTGAATTAGCGCCGATCCCACCCTCTGGACATTTATCGCTCTCTCGAGCAACCCCATACCGAAAATGGACATCGGATTTCTGAGGCTTCTGCGATCCATTTGCGAAGACCTTTACGTACAGATCTGCTGTCTAAAAGAGACCAGATCTTGAACATGCCTATTTTCCCCTTTGACTTTATCTAGCCCCACTAATCCGCCTGTGAACTCACCGGTAGGCCAAAACTCCTCTTCACCGGAATCGCTCCGGTGACATTAAACAGAGCAACACGTAGCTGATACTTTTCCGGAACACGAGGGGTGACGTCCATGGGCGGTGGCACTGGACCGTAGCTCAGCTGAATCGAAAGAATGCCTATTGAAAACAAACTGTAGGCTCACCTCCAAGAATCCTGATCATTGCCATGTGTGAGTGGGTGCGCAGCTGCAGTAGCGTGCCACTTTCGCAGCTCAGAAGTGCACGGGAACGGGGCTGTAGGGTAGTGATAGGGAAGTGATATCCGGGTGGCCTCTCCCTAGTCCATCCGCGCTGGCACACGGGCAGCCACGCGCCTGACCATAGCCCAACACGCCACTTTTCTGCGCTCTCTTACTTACCACGCGTTTTCGCTGTGGGATCTTGATATCAAAACAAGTGCTATACATTAAAGATAGCTAGGGGGATAAAGAGACGGCCCCTGGAATCACTACGCTCTGACCCTGTTCCCGTCCATTTTTGAGCAAGTGGCAGCCTACAGCAGCTGCGGACATATTCGCCTCGAGTGTACAGTTTGTCGTTGAAGAATTCGTTTATGAAGCGATTGAGGTGACCCACCGGGAACATATCGACGAACATACGTAGCTCTCCACAAGGTGTATGACCACCCATTTCCGTATACAAAATCCTTGTCTCGACATGTTCGGGAACGAGGTTCATCTGAAGCGGTCCATATATCAAGTGTTCTCATGCGAGGCTTTTCGTTACTGCTTGCTCTTCGCCCTTTTTCTGAGGTTGCGTTCATACTTTGCGACACCGTCCACCACACTAGCGTCCACCAGCCAGGGTACAGCATCGTTGTGTCAAACCCATGAGGGGGGGGTCGTACTTTTGCTCTGGGGAGGGGGGGTCGTATTTGTAAGACAAATTTATTTTGATAGTTGATTTTTCTTGTGGTCCGTCGACGAAACAAGCCGTGGAGGTGGGGTGGCGGAGGGCGGGTCCAACTACCGTCATATAAATTACAACTTATCCACATTCACACACGACCAGCACACTCCCTGGCCTGGTCCCCATTCGAAGGGGGGGGGGGGGAGGGGTCGTACTCACACGACATTTCGCACATCCCCATGCTGTACCCTGCCACCAGCGTTCCGAGCGTCCGGCAGCGTCAGCGACTGGGAAAGTATAGATATCGATCTAGCGTCTGCCAGCGTCCACCAGCGTCTCAAGGGCTAGGGAAGTATAGATATCGATCTAGCGTCTGCAGGCGTCCGCAACCGTCTACCAGCAACCAGCAGCGTCCGGACGTGAAAAGTACGAGGCGGTAGGAGGGTAACAGACAGCTGGTAGAGTATGGGGAGATAGGAGGGTAGCAGACTGCTGGTAGAGAGTATGGCGCGATAGAAGGGTAGCAGACAGCTGGTACCCTCCTATCGCCCCATACTCTTTACCAACAGTCAAAAGCTGGTCGCTGGTGGACGCAGGCAGATACTAAATCGATACTTTCCTAGTCGCTGACGCTGGCGAACGCTCGGAACGCTGGTGGTCGCGAAGTATGAACACAGCCCAAAGCTGAGGTCGAAATCTTCATTGGTTATAAGTTCGTCCACGTGGACAAATTGCCCCTTCGACGAATACCCTATCCGTTTAGTGTGAAAACGCCACAAGATTCTAAGTTAGGCATAACAATGGTATATGGTATCCTAAAACTAAAAGTTGAATTGGATGTGTCGCGAAGGAAGGGATAGTCCAGCTGGGGGAGGAGTGCGAGGGCGGTGCAACTTCTGCCCTACACCCACTGGTTAAGCCATGGCGAAAGCTGGGCGCGCAATGAGGGGATACTGAGTGAGTTTGCGGTACGCATGCACTTAATTTTACATGCAATTTTGGGGTATTGTGTACCTTCTGAACCCTAGACCTATAAAATGGGAAAGCCTGGCGCCAGCGCTACAGGAGCCGGACCCAATGGCCCCACCATGATGTGTCTCGACGATGAACACGTTCAGGGAGTCAAACGGAGACAAATTCCTACCCCGCCTACAAATTTTGATCAATATCTTATGACCTCTAAACCTTAGGTCTGGGGGTGAATATCCTTCTCCGCCCTCGTTCTTACTCTTCATGATACTCCGTGTTGCAGCTTACTGCATGCAGTC